AGAAATACGCAGCAATATTGTCCACAGGTCTGAGAAAATGTGTCCTGTAATCGCGAGATGTTCCATTTATGAGTAGAGTTTCGTCGAAGTCGCAGATTGAATCTGGAATCCAGGGGTGGTAGTCCGTAGCTATCGAAATATGTGCCTTCCCCATGCTTGTCTAGGTAGAAAGCAACCCAGTGTTGTCCAAGACGATCGTGATTATCAGTGTTCGCGACGATGGCCGTCGACTTCGTCCACACCCTCGGGATTCTGTCGGCAGGATACACACCCGCATGTTCGATACTAAGATGATGCAACGCTCGTAAGATTTCGAGTGAATTCATCTTCCGCTGTGTGGAATGATGTTTGACTTGTTTTTTGGCTCGTCGGTGTCGTTATATTTTTATCCTCTTGCGAGGATTGTAGGGTAGAAGCTTCCTTTTTTCACACTTGAGTTTCGATAGATCTTCTTTCTCGGCTTTTATTTGTTCGCACCTCGCCTTCTGTCTCGCTGTTCTTTTTCTAATCTCTTATTTCTCCACGTAACGAGATTCGAAAAATTTCGTTTTATTGTAAAAACCTCGCTTTCTGTATCACTGTCATCGGAACTTTCAATGGTAAAAGAATTAGCGCTGCTTATATAGCAGTTCCCTTCTTGAGATTGCATCCAGTATCTCAATTTGCATGCGTTGCGTAACGCGCAATGAAATTTGTCGGAATTTCGCTGAAACCCGTGATGACCGCAGCGCAATTCATGCTCTTCGCCTTCCGACAGGTTTTTGAAAGCTGGAGAGATTCTTTCTAAATTATATACGTTTCTTGCGAGTGTATTTTCCAAATAATGTATCTTCTCTCGACCTCGGGTGTATATGTAACGCGCTTGCCGTGCAATTTCACATAGCTCCGCCATGAAATGTTTGGAATTGACTGTTCCGTCAAACCACTCGATTCCATGGAAGTTTCGAGAGAGCCAGTTGTTTTCTCGTCTGTATTTTTCGGATAATTCGACAAATGGATATGGAGGCATCATAATGCAGTGACTTATGAATGCTTCGTTAATGGCGACAACCGCTACTTCTTTCGGCATAAACTTTCCCTCAGCGTCGCGGAAACTTTGTATATCGATAACTATATCCATGATACGTAGAATATACTTTCAATTTATTTTGCAGGAAGTGACGACGTTCGCGTCTAAAGCAAAACTGCGGCTACTTTTTGTTAAGCTTTCGAAGAAATAGAAATGAAAAATAGATAACGGTGGGAGGGGGAAATTCGAGTATGTCTCATCCGCTAAAATCAACGATAATTTGACGCGAGGAATCGATCTCTAACACGTTATCGAATTCTGCGTAAACGATACAATTAATCGTTGAGGTAATAGCTTTTTCAAATCGCACCTCTAATCGTAAACTTCCATGTCTGACAAGATTCCAATGTCCGGTGCAATTTGCCGATAGATCGGGAGTGAGATCGAAAGCGAAAAGCGTGAAAGCTTTGGCATAATCTTCTCTGCTTATAGAATTCCCCTCATTTAGAAAATGGATGCCTGTTCCTGAGAAGAGGGTGTTATAAGCCTCGATATAGAGCGGATGGTCTTTTGAGAAATTCGGTTGCAGCGGTCTACTTAGAATTTGCACGCCATCGGCATATAACGAAAAGAAATTTATGCCGAAATTAAATGGACTTAACTTTCTGTCGCCGTTAAACGCTTTGTTATCGACGAATCCGACTATTACTCGTTTCGGAAGTTGCCCGAGTATCGCGTTATCAATCGATTCTCCTACCACTCCGGCGTGAATCGTGAATGTTTTAACTTCGACTCATCAGAGGATACTTGGCGGTTGTTTTACTCAGCATTCTCGCATGTTCGAGTAACACTGCGGGGCTTATTTTTGCTCTTCTTATGAGTAAACTAGCATCTAGAATGCGTATTTTCGACGTTGAGTTGCTTTCCATGAGGCAAAATGCATCTCTCGAGCAAACGAGTCTCATTCTAACCTCCACTCCGTTAATTAAAAATTTATCCTGATTAAACACGTCGCAATGAAGATAATCTATTAGATCTACCGAATGTTCTCCTTGGATGTATCGGGCGCGTCTCACGAGAGCTTGATTGGGGTTGTCCGATTCTAATAGCGCGTCCATATAACCGGGTTCGTCCGTGTCCCATAGACAGGAAGTCAGATGGGAAGTTTTTGCCGGTGAAGAATAATTTAACAATGTTTCGATGTACGCGCGGTACGCGTAGGCGTTGTTTGGGGGTGATACGAGTTTTTGATTGAAGTACACGTCGATCTGGTTGAACATCGAATGTAGTAGATTCACAGGGCCTACTTTGTTTCCTCCTGCTTCTCCTTCTCCCACTCCTCCTCCTCCTCCTGCTGTCGATGTTCCAGGATCGGGTAAACTTTCCACTCGCACGCGAAGACTTAGCATGGTATGCGTGAGATCTAGATAATCTTCTCCGTGCCCGGGTACGACGAATTCTATAGGCGCGTCGTCCGCGAGCGAGGTCACCGGTTTGTAATAAACCCATTGCGAATTCTCGATACTAGTTTGAGTAGGAGGTAAACTGAAAAGATCGAGCTCGCTCTTTAAACACTCGCTTGAGTGGGTATGAAGAAAGGACATATCTCTCAAATTTACAAAGTGCGTTAGTTAAGCGAATATATCGGATACGGTGTGCTTTTTCCCGCTATTTCGTCGATGTTTCGTTTTTAATTTTTTAATTTTTAATTTTTAATTTTGCCCGCTTTCCTCTTCGATGTATTTTTTTTTAATCGTTTTTTTCGATGATTTCTTTTTTTTACCGACTTGTCTGCGTTTACGAACCGCGCTTCTCCCGGATTTAGCGGTGCGTGCGTCGTGCCCTCCGAAGGAAAACTGACCCGGTCGTATTTTCGTGGATGTTTTATATCCCGAGCCCTTCATCAAGTTACTTATATTTTCTTTGGCTTTTCTTTTAAGATTTCCGCCCGATTCCTTGAGCCGCGTTTTGACTGCTTCCCTGAACGGAGTGTTGTTTTCAACATCCTCCATCACGCCAATTCCGGCGCGTAAAGCTTCTTTCCCGACTGCGCGCATTCCCCTGCTTAGATTAGGAAGTACTCTTCTAAATAATCC